CACATGCAAGTAAAAATTTACTGAAAATAATTCAAAACCATTTGTAACAATTCATCAACAGGGATCTGCAGAAATTCAATCCAGATTCAGAAGAGGACACGGAGCAAGGGATGTAGATCTTGGCTGAAAGCAGAGATGACCAGAAATAAGTTTACTTGTATTTTATTGTTTATGAAAATGCATTCAACTCTGTGGATCATGGCAAACTATAGATAATATTATGAAGAATGGGTATTCCAGAATACTTAATTGTGCTCATGAGGAACCTGTGCATATACCAAGAGACAGCCATTCCAACAGCATATGGGCATACTGAATGTTTTACAATCAGCAAAGGGTGTGTCAGGGTTGAATCCCTTCACCACACTTTTTCAATTTGTATGCTGAGCAAATAATCCCAGAAATTGGATTATATGAAGAAATATGTAGCATCAGGATTGTTGAAGATCATTAACAATCTGAGAAATACAGATGACACAACCACGTTTGTTAGAAGCAAAGAGGACTTGAAATATTTACTGATAAAGATCAAAGACTACAGCCTTCAGTATTGATTGCACCTCGATGTAAAGAAAACAATAATCCTCACAACTGGACCAATAAGTAACAACATAATAAATGCAGAAAACATTGAATCTGTCAAAGACTTCATTTTGCTTAGATCCACAATCAACCTTTATGAAAACAGCAGTCAGTAAATTAAATGGCATATTGCTTTAGGCAAATCTGCTGAAAATACCTCTTTAAAGTGTTCAAGAGCAAAGATGTAAGTTTGAGGGTTAATGTACACTTGACTCAAGCCATGGTATATTCATCGCATCATATGGATGTGTCAGTTGGACAATGAATAAGGAAAAGCGTAGAAGAATTTAATCGTTTGAATTATAGAATGCCAGGAGAACAAACATCTGTCTTGGAAGAAGTATAGCAAGAATGCTCCTTAGTAGCAAGTATAGTGTGATTTTGTCTCTTGTACTTTGGATATGTTGTCAGGAGGGACCAACCTCTGGGGAAGACATCATGCTTGGAAAAGTGGAGGGTCAATGAAAAAGTGGAAGACCCCCAATAAGATGGACTGACACATTGGCAGCAATAATGGGCTTAAACAGAACAACATTTGTGAGGCAAACAAAGTGATTTGTTCTCTTTTGCATAGAGTGCTTTGAGTCAAAACCAACTTGATGGTATCTAACAACAACAACAATAACATGTATAGAAAGCTGAGAGTGTCTGTTATTGGATTATACCCTCAAACTCTGTGTTCTCAATTTATTAACTTTAAGATATACTTATTTGTAAAGTCTTATTTTCAAAAACCTCATGTTCACTCAACATATTCAAACCTAGAAATTCTCTACCATTTTCTTGCTTAATGACCAAGTAGTGGTTTTGAATTCTTACACAATTTCTTAGTTAAACTATACAATGGCAGATGAGTCAGTAAAGACAGCAACAGAAAAATAACCCCCACTAACAAAAAAACCCGTAGTCATCGAGTGGATACAATTCATAGTGATCTTATAAGACAGGGTAGAACAGTCCAGTGAGGTTTCAAGGCTGTAATCTTTACAGATTCAGGCTGTCAGACTTCTCCTTACAAGCAGCTGGTGAGTTCAAACTGCCAAAATTTTGATTAGCAGCCAAGCACTTAAGCACAGCACCACTAAGGGACATTAATAAAAATAACAGAAATTGGGAAATGATGCAAAGCAGCAAAACAAGTTGTGAAATTTAAGTACAAAATGTAATATGCATTCTCACGAGCAGGAATGTGGTCTTGCTGGTGACCATGTTGATCTACCGATAAGGGCAAGTGGGGGAGAGAGACAGCAATGAAGTTGTGAGCTAAGTTTGACCACGTTCAATAGACTCCTGTCAACCTGGGTTGAGATCTGGTTGGCCAACAGT